AAAAACCAAAAGTTCAATTGCTTTGATATTACATATTTAGATACTACATGTAGACCTTTCTCAGATTTGTTCATTGCGTGATGATATCTTCGATTCTATAATTTTGGTGAATATTTTTGTCATTTTTGGTAAAAAGTGATATTTTCGACTTCTTGTTAAAAACTGTAAGTCCGATTGCTTTGATACTATACATATTGTTCATTTTCTAATGATGTCTTCAGTTCTTTAATTGAAATGTGCATTGCTAACAGCGGAGCTATCTCAGCCGATAGGCTGCTTGTTTAATTGAAGTTTGATTCAACTGCCATTGAAATTATAAGTATTTATAAATTTGAAGGGAATGCCTTTGTGTCAATACTATGCATTTCATGAAGGCATATTTTATATATATATATATATATATATATATATATATATATATCCAAAACCACTAGACCAATCACTTGCCAAAGTAGAAGTACCGTCTTGATAAAGAAAGAAAAATTAGATAGATTTGCATCATAAAAGACAAATGTAACAACGGTTTCAATTTTATTTGAATTATGGCTAGAAGTGGTTCTGAGGAAAGATATAATACCACTCCGGTCTCCTTGACATAGCAACAAGGACTGAGATCGTTGGTACCATGGAGCTAAAAACTTGTGACGCGCTCTCATCTCGCAAAACTTTTGTGAAAAAAATGTTTGTATAATTTATTTAACGGTACTTGGCCTCCGCGAAACGAAAGTATGTGTGCCTATCGCGGAACATTGAAATAAAATTAGTCCTTAATGTGATGCCACAGCAAGTAGCATGATTGTCCGTCAGTTTGTTTGAAAGAAAGCGAGTGTTATTTCCATATATAGGTTTTGATCAGCACACGAGGTACCCCTTTGTTTGTGGTCGGCGCCATGGCTTAGTTGGTTAAAGCGCCTGTCTAGTAAACAGGAGATCCTGAGTTCGAATCTCAGTGGTGCCTATTTTGGCGACTGAAGTTAGTTCTTTCGTGAGGTGAAGGCCCTGGACCCTATTGAGTTTAACTTTTTTTTTCAAGAGCTTGTTAACGTTCTTGCGTCGTCTCGGTCTTGAAATATCAATATAATGCCAACTGCACAAGCAAACGCGTGTGTGATTTAAACAAAGGTTGGCGTACAGTGTAAATCAGGTCAATCATTGTTAACGCCCTCACCGGCCTTGTGGGTGCGAGTAGTCGGTGATTGTGTCACCTTAGCGACACACGGCCAATATAATCCGATCACCTGTTTGTGTACTGATATTATATAGCGGAAAAGACAATACGGTAATAGCGCGCAAAGCTTCGAAAGTTCTATTCGAACTCTTCCAGCCATTTGACGAGGTGAGTAATTGTTTTAGGCGCTTGTTCTATGGTCGTCAACAAACGCTGTGTTGACAAGCGAATAACGCGAGTTGTCGGTACTGATCGTGTTTATGCGCGGATCGGCTAGGATATTTTAAGCATAGGGGTATTGAAATCGAAGCACATAGTATCTGCCTTATTTTGACGCCGTGCATGATAGCCCCATTATATCACTTATATTTGAAGCCAATAGGGCAACAACGGGCGAATTATGGGCAGAACTGGGAAGTGTGTAGGACACAAGGTAAGTCAAACTTTGTACTAGTGACGCGCCGTGAAAGGTTGTTGCTTGAGAAGCGTACCACAATGCAGCATGAATTTTACAGCCTCACTGTATATACACTGTAGTACATTTCAAGCGAATCTTTTGTGTCTATGTCCATTACTTAACGCTGTCGTAAAAATAATACATTGACCACGCTAATCCACCTGGTTGGCGCCATAGACGCACACAGTCACACAGTTTGACTGACCGGCCAATCACTTCAACAACACCGGGGAATTTATATAACACCAGTAACAATTAAGTGGGAGAGGTCCGCGATTAACCCGAGGTTAAGACTCGACACAACGAGTGGTGTTCATCGTGTCAGGGTGTGATACTTCAGGGACTGTGAACCATTGATACACCAGCTGGTATGCGTCGATGTTTGTTAACCTTAGATATCCATTAAAACTTTAATAAAATTCTTGGATTATAACCCACATTACATCTAAGAAAATACCGCAGTTGCTTGTCTCTGTATTTCTAATGTATGTGGTTCGTGGTGTGTTCTCCTTTTAACACATGGGACTGTGTTCTCCCTTTAACACACGGGACTGTGGAGGTTTCTGATCGATGAAACCTGTACTTAAAAGTGGTGGAAATGAAGGCCAGCAACACTCTCAATAAAAGAAGAAAGTCAACATGTCCACACAATAAACACTCCTTATACATATTATGTACAGTGTTTACCGCTTTAACATTGAACTCTGTGAAGGTTGACAACCATTCGTCAATATTGGGTTGGTGTACAGCCACCGTGACATGAAACCATTTAGGGTTTGACGTGAATCACAGGTGGCAATATAAACCCTATAATGGCAGATACTTTTTTAACTAGTATTGAAATGCGCACCCAAGTCATACACATATTTCAGAAACGAAATCTGGACTTTAAGTAAAGTTTTACAAAACATAACC